ATCTACCGATTTGGGTTGTACTTTTCATTTTACTCATGATTATTGTGAATTTCAGGATTTAACCTTGTGGATGGTGATTGGAAATGCTAGGCGTCATGGTGGACTCTACATCCTTGACGCTCCTCCTTATACTCTCATTCCCAACCACTCACCTGCACAATTTATCTCTTCTTTTGTTTCAGTTTCTCCTACAGATGTGGCTGCTGACATTATGTTATGGCATTTTATGTTAGGTCACCCAAGTTTTTCTTATCTTGCAAAATTGTTCCCCAAATTATTTATTAATAAAAATCCTACATTTTCTTGTGACGTTTGCTCTCTTACAAAACACATTTGGAGTTCTTATCCTCCTTTTCTATCTCGCTCACCTAAACCTTTTTCCTTAATTCATAGTGATATTTGGGGACCTTCACGGGTTACAGGTTTACATGGAATTTGTTGGTTTATTACTTTTATTGACGACTACTCTTGTACCACTTGGACCTTTCTTATGATGGACAAATCTGAGTCTCTTACCATCTTCAAATGATTCCACAAAATGGTTGAAACACAATTCCAAAGTTCCATTGGCATCCTTAAATCTAATAATGGTAGGGAATATTGGGATAATTCTTCCATGAAATTGGAATAGTCTACCTTACTTCTTGTATCGACACTCCATAATAAAATGGGGTCGTCAAACGTAAAAACTGTCATCTTCTTGAGGTAACATGAGCATTTCTTTATTCTTCTAATATTTCAAAATATATTTGGGATGAGGCTCTCTTAACTGATACTTTTCTAATCAATCGTTTGCCTAGTAAGATTCATGTCTTTAAGTGTCCATAGGATACCCTTTCCTCTAAATTCCCTCACTTCAAGCCTTTTACCTCTTCTATTCCTTTCCGTGTCTTTGGTTGTACTACCTTTGTCCATGACCACAATCCTCATAATTCTAAACTTGATCTTCAGGCAATTCAATGTGTCTTTGTTGGTTATTCATCCCATCGGAAAGGTTATCGTTGCTACTCTTCTTCTACAAAATGGTTATTCACATCAATGGATGTCAGTTTTCAAGAACATAAAATGTTCTTATCAAAAACTGAAATCCAGAGGAAGAATGAGCCTGAATTTCAATTTTTATTGATTATTATTGAGTTACCCATCAATCCATCTTCTATTAAAAAAAGTATCACTCCCCAACCTCCTAACACCACCACATCTGATAATGAAAACCAATCCATTAATCTTATTGACTCTCATGAAACACCTAGACCATCTATTGATATTATGATCTACAAAAGATAACCCAAACAAGCCCTACCTTCCGCACCGAAACCAACACATTGTCAAGAGGCATAACCGAGTTTAAATCCATCGAAAGACAAAGGAGATAGTGAACAAAGTAAGTTGGATGTGGTAATTGATACTAGTGAGTTACCAATTGCTCAAATAAAGGGAGATAGATGATGTACAACTCATCCTATTAGTAAATTTGTTGGTTATGGGAAACTAATGTCTGGTTTTAAGACTTTCACAGCTCAGGTTGATCATATTCACATTTAGAGACCGTAGAGGAGGCATTAAAAAGTCTTGAGTGGAAGAAGGTAGTTGAAGAAGAAATTTTAGCTCTAGAAAATAGCAAAACCTGGGTCATTGTTGATCTACCTAAAGACAAGAAACCAGTCGGCTGCAAATCAGTCTTTAATGTGAAATTCAATACAAATGAAAAAATTGAGAGATATAAGACTAGACTTGTGGCAAAAGGGTTCACTCAGACTTATGGAGTTGGCTATCAGGAGACCTTTGCTCTAGTTGCAAAACTCAACACTCTTCGAGTTCTATTATCCTTGGAAATGAACAAGGATTGGATAATTCACCAACTAGACCTAAAAAATGCATTTCTCAATGGTAATCTTGAAGAAAACGTCTATATGCAAGTTCCACCAGGAATTCGATCTGGAAATAACCGGGTATGTAAATTACTGAAATCCTTATATGTTCTAAGATAATCACCTCGATGTTGGTTTGATAGATTCACAAAGGTAATGTTACAAGGCAACTACAAACAGTGTCAATCCGATCACACTCTGTTTATAAAAACTGCTCCAGATAAGAAGAATTCAATCTTGATTGTCTACATTGATGATATCATCGTCACAGGTGATGACTTAGTAGAAATCGAAAAGTTGAAGAGATTCTAGCAAAGGAGTTTGAAACCAAAGATTTAGAAACTCTACAATATTTCCTAGGCATGGAGGTAGCAAGATCATGAGAAGGAATTTTCATAAATCAAAGAAAGTATATTCTAAATTTACTTTTTGAAACTAGAATGACTAATTGTAAGCCCTTGGAAACTCCTATGGAAGTAAACTTAAAATTGAGTAAAGATGGAAACCCGGTAAACAAGGAACATTATCAGAGGTTGGTAGGTAAACTCATTTATCTATCGCTAACTAGCCATGACATGACATTATTTTTCCTGTTAGCATTGTTAGTCAACAAATGAATGATCCAAGAGAAGAACGTCTGGAGGCAGTCAATTGAATCTTAAGATATCTAAAGATGACACTATGACATGGGTTGATTTTAAAAAAACATGAAGATATAATAGTTAAAATTTTCTCAGATTCAAGATAGACTGGATAATTAATAGATAGAAGGCCAACCTCGGGATATTGCTCATTTGTATAGGGAAACCTAGTGACATGGAGTAGAAATAAATAATCAGTAGTCTCCAGGAATAGTACAGAAGAAGAATATAGGGTGATAGCACTCGTGATGTGTGAAGGAATTTGGCTACAAATACTCTTAACAGAACTAGAGATGTGCGACAACAACTATTTTGAACTTTAGAGTGACAAAAAATCTACGATAAGCATTGCAAAGAATCCAATGCACCACGACAGAACAAAACATGTGGAGATCGACAAACACTTTATTACAGAAAAAGTAAATGGCAGAACTGTAAAACTAAACTACGTCTCTTCACAAAACCAGCTAGTCGATGTATTGACCAAGGCACTTCCAAGGATTACCTTTGATCCAAGCTGGGTCTTCACAATATTTACTCCACAACTTTAGGGGGAGTGTAAGTAGTGTTTAAGTTAAACTCTTAATCCTAATTTATCTCTAAAACTATCTCCTAATTTGTAGAAAATATGACTCCTATCTTATCTAGGTTTCTAATTTATGTGTATAAAAATCCTATGTACCCTATTGTGTAAGATGCAATTTTTATTTGAATAAAAGAATTCAATTTCTTCACTATCGAAAAACTTAAGTAATTTACAGTCGACAATGAACACAACCATGAACTGATCCGGGTAAGGTCAAAATGATCGATTAATCAAATCCATAAAGGTAGTAGAGACATTAGTTAACCCGAATGTCATCACTAAAAACTCGTAATGCACATATTAAGTACGGAAAACAATCTTTTGGACGTAAGAATTTTCACCTTGAGTTGGTAATAACTAGACCTCAAGTCTATCTTCAAAAAGATAGAAACCCCTCTAAACTAATCAAATAGATCATCGATCTTAGGTAGAGGATATTTTTTTAACTGTGAGTTTGTTCAATTTTTTGTAGTCAATACAGAGTCTCAATGTCCTATTTTTCTTCTTCAGAAAAAGAACTAGAGTTTTTCCACAGTGAAGCACTGGTTCGAATAAATCCCCTATCTAACAACTCTTTGAGTTGAAATTTTAGTTCCTTAAGCCTGTTGAGTTAATCGATCGACGAATATGGCCAAGAGGGGGTGAATTGGCAATTAAAATTTTGGTGGAAGCTTTTGCAGAAAATTGAAAGTAATTGCACAGTGATTTAGAGTGGTTCGACTTTCTCAACTAAAGTCTACATCCACTACCTTAGCTATTCGTACTAAGGATTTTCCAACAAATTCACTAATTTGTTCTTTCTTTTGAGGCCAAAGAGATAATCTTACAACTCCCTCAAGAATATACCCCAATTCTTAAGAACACTCTTTCTCAAAGAGAATATTACAAATTTGCAAACTTAATGAAAAACCTCACAAGGTAAATGTGTTTGTGTAATTCTAGAACAAAGAAAAGAACACTCAAGAATGAATACAATTGAGTACAAGTAGTGTTCTTAAAAGAAAAATGAATATTGAATGAAAAATAGGCTTGAAGTGCTCAAACAATGAGTTTGATGCTTTCTCTTTGATTCTCTCTTGATTTTAGTTTCTTGTTGTTTCTTATTGTTGATCAATGGCTTCTAAGCTTGTTTAAATATTCATTCAATTGATTCTGAATGTTGGGATGATTAGTGGAGTCAATAGAGTCGTTTAAGTGTGAAAACAATTAATAAAATCACTTGGGAGCGTCAATGCATCGATGCATACACAAGGTGCATCGGTGCATCAAGTGTAAAATTCAAATATTTTGACTGTTGAAACACTTAGTGCATCGGTGCACTAAGTGTGCATCGATGCACTAAGTGTGCATCGATGCATAAAATGCATTCGATGTTTTCATTAAAACCTAAGTGTATCGATGCATGGAGAGTGCATCAATGCATAAACTGCATTCGATGTTCAATTTATTCATTGGTGCATTGATGCATGGATTGGTGCATCGGTGCATCCCTTTGAAAAATTGATTTTAGGCTTGATTTCGGTTCAAAATACTTTGTGAAAATTGTTTCAAAAATATATTAAGTATAAAACACAATTTTACACATTTAGTAAGGTTTGAAATTGATCTTGAAAGACTTGGAGTAATAATTTGATATTCGATTAATTGAATCGAATATACTTATAAAAATCTTTGTAAAATCTTAAAATTCATTTATACTTAGTTTGTTATATCGAAACATAAAAATATTTTCAACAAAGCCCCTTAGGGGCTATATGGTAAGGAGCCTTCGAAATTGGTGTAAAACCGTAATAGACTTCAATATCAAACTCAACTTCTCTATATGGTGGTAATCCAAACACACTCTTTAAGGAAGATATCAAGAAATTCCTTAACGGTCTGGATTACTTCAATATCATATCGTCAACTCCTAGTATCCAAAATATAAGCGGGAAACGCCTTGGAACCCTTCATGATCATCCTTTTAGCTACTAAAGAAGACACAACATTTATAAGGAATTCATGATGTTCCTCGATCATCATAATCTTCATGTTATCAGGAGTCTTCAGAATAACTCTCTTGGTCTCACAATCGAGATTAAATCGATGCTTGTTCAGCCAACCCATGACAAGAAACAAGTTAAACTCCTCCAAAGGTAACTTCATCATGTCTGCCAAAAATATCTTCCCATGAATATCTATAGCACACACTCTATAATTTCAGTCTAATTCTATGGACTGACATACGAGACTCTGAATTATCACAGAACTCTCAATATTCTCAACCGGAATATTAAGACCCCAAGAAATAGAACGAGACACATAAGAATGGGTATAACCATTATCAAATAATGCAAAGTATGAAATTGAATGAATAGTAATAGTACATGTAATCATATCAGGCTCATCATAATCCTGTCCATGTTTGACAGCATAAACCAACCTAGGTTGTCTAGCCTCAGACCTGGCTGGACCCCTACTTTAAAAAGGTCGGCCTCTGCTAACATATCTAGATTCTCTCTTCTGACTACGACCCCCTACTGAAGTTTGAATTGTACTCTGAGTACGAACGGGAGTCCGAATTAGTGTCTGAATGGTAGTAGCTGGCTCTAGATAATCCCTCAAGAGATGGTCATCAGACCCACATCTAAAGCAAGTACTCAATTTCTTCATGCACTCGCCAAAGTGGCATCTCCCACAGTGTTCACATGTAGGCAAATGTTGTAACCCAGAAGAACCACCCTGACTAGAAGCTGGAATAGTCGAAGAAACTGATGCGATAGGCATGGCACTCATATCGCCTCTCTGAAAAACTACATATGCCTCTTTTGTTGGGATGCATAGAAGAGTCAACAAAGCTAGAAGGCCTCATGGATCGGTCTCGATCTCTATATCTCCTACGTTCCATACAACTCGCTATATCTCCTCAGTGGTCTTGGTTATCTCAACCAAGCATCAAAGTTCCTCTCTCGGTGGGTAGTAACCCGACTCATAATCTCATATCTAAGTCCATTCTCAAATATCAAAAACTGATCCAACTCAGTGTCAAAAAGTCTAGTAACATAGCGACTCAATCTGATGAAATCAATCTCATAGTCCAAAATAGACATGTCACCCTGCTCCAAATTCTGAAACTCTTGACATCGCTCCTACATGTATCTCTCTCCAATGTAGCAACTCCGAAAATATGCCTTGATAAGGTCCCAAGTTAATTTATTCCCCAGAATAGTACTGGAAATCAATTTCCACCACCTAAAAGTTTCGTTCTTCAACATGGGTAGGTCCCCCTTTAACTTCTTATTAGACCACAAATCCATATCATCCATAATTCATTCAGTATCCTCCAACCAACACTCAACATCAGTGGGAGGTCCACCATCAATGCCCTCGAACGAAACTATTCTAGCATGCACCAAAGACTTCGAAATCTCTACCGCAGACATATTACCATGAACTCTAGCGACTCTCTGAAACATATGAAAGATAGCTGTATTTAAGGCATCCTCATCCAAATCAGTGTCCTCATCCTAAGAGACAGGAGGGTCTATCGCAGGTGTAACCGGATCATCTTTAGAAATAGGCAGATCTACACGTGGAGTTAGAGGATCTCGAGCTAACATCATATCGTTTATCGAAACAGAAGGTCGAGTCGCTCACCTTCGACCACACCACTACCTGGCCTACGACCTCGCGCAACGCTCATCTGATAGGTCTACAAGGCTCTATAGAAAGAATTTAAAACTAAGTTTGGTTGGCATCGGGAATTTTCAATATATTTAAAACTCATAAAATAAGGTTACATAGTTTTTGAAATTATAAGAAAATATATTTTAATACGGTATTTAGGACTCATCCATAATCCAAGTGTTTAAAAACGAAATATCTAATACCACCAAGTGTAACCCTAGACTCGACCTAGACGTTACGACCAAATCTAGGTGGTCACATGTCGTATTCAGAAGTTATTTTCATATTTAAAACATAGTTGAAATCCATACAACAATATCATACTGAACTTACCAAAAATGAGGTTTATATGGTAAACATATATATATACATATACAAAAAAAATCGTATAAAACATATACAAAATAAAATACTGGTAATACATATATATCAAAATAGTAGTAAAAATACGTGTCACCAAAATATATCAAAAATGGTATATAAAAATATACAGTAGTACAAAAATAAGTAGTGACCTGTCCTCCTGATGTCAAGTTAGCTAGTCTACTATCGGGTACTATCTAAAAAGGTTAAAACTTTAAAGAGTAAGATAAAAAGCCAAGTGTGCTCCTTGCGGTGTATAAAAACATACAGATAAAATACTTTGGTAAAAATTAGTTCATCAAATATGTTTTGAAAACATGAACACTACCCCTATCTAAACACTAGAATGTGTAGGCTTCCCTAAACCACACACCCACATGTACACCCGATAAAGACCTTATACGTATATCATAAGGACATGCAATAAGGATTTACCTAGTGCACAAAGCAAAGGAGTTTGCGGTAAGGTCTTACAAGTCATAGACTAGGCTTGAGATACTTCCTCCAATAACACTCCCCCATGACAGTAATAAACATGTATGTATCTGAGTGAAAACGGTAGTTTAATTCAATAAAACATGAAAATATTCCATATTCCAAAATCAAATACATAAATACAGTAACCAGAAATCATATCAGAAATATAGGTAAATTAGAAATCAAATAAATGGTATTTAGAAAATAATATATCATGTTATAAAAATATTCAATATCATCAGAATTCCAAAATATTTCAGATAGGTAGTTCAAAACAGTAGTGTAACACCATTAGGAAACACACCTCTATCGATCTGAGTTGTTTGATAAGGTAGCATATTGTTGAGTCTGCCTATCACGATCAGCGGTAGTGCTAGATCCTATGAATCGGAAAAACTATATCACAATCCTAATAAGAATAATAATATCATCTATTTAAGCAATTTATGGAAACTAACAAGTCACTCTCGAAGTACCGGATCGTGTGAATCTATTTGACGGGAAGCACCAGATCTAGTCGACCCTAGATCAGGAGAAACATGAGTACCTTCATAAAAATATATTCTCGAATCAATTCCATAATCAAATCTAAAAAAAAATTAGCAAAAAATGCTAAAAATTCTAAGCATTTTCAGGTTAAAAGGCTCAATTTGGGGCTTTCAGGTCAGAATTTAGTGAAAAGAACCGTAAAATCGAACTCAGGATGTCAAAAAAAGATAGGTTTTCAGAAAAAGTCAACGCTAATCAATGGTTGACTCGATTCGGTTCGGGCGGGATCGGTTCGATTCAGATTGGACTAGTTCAATTCGTTTTGGGTTAGACCAGTTCAATTAGGCCGGTTGGATTGGGCTGGACTAGTATGCGGTTAGGTCAGACGAGTCGGGTCGACCCATTTCTAGAAGGCCCACCAGGTGATGGACAAGCCCTACACGCAGCGGTGGCGTGTGGGGGCACGTTGGGTGTCTTCTTGGGCCGTAAAAATTAAGAAAAAATTTCTAATATTATTTTAAGGGATTTTGACACACTTACCAAACTCTCATAACGGTGAACGGCGGAGAGCTCAATTTCGCAACGTCAAAACTTGTTTCTCTTCGCCCCTTTAGATGCCAGTGACAACAGAGACAAAACAGACACCGGTGGACTCGGGACAACACAAGGATCACGATAGTATGGAAGGTGTAGCAAACGGAGCTACGGTCGACGAGGAAACGTCGTTTAAAGTTTCTTAACTAAAAGAGGAAACTAAAAGAGATACACAAAGATTTCAACTTTTCATAAATTGAAAGTTCCAGGGCTTGGGGTTTTTAAACCTAATATATTTAGAAAACAATATAATTATACCATAGGTCCTCCAGTCTTTGTTGCTTTCTGGATTTAGATTCAAATTTAATTAAAAATTCACCTTGGTCATCAAATTTAATTAAAATTTCAGTTTAATCCCCAAAATTAATTTTTATTGTTGGCATGATTCATCAGTGAGTTGTCAGTCAAAAATTGTTATTGTTGGTCTTCTAGGAATGATTGGAGCCATAGAACAAGAAAGAAAGAAACAAAAACTTGTTCGAATGTTTTACTTCTTTCTTTCTGTTCTTTATAGGAGTGATATTGAGAATTGTCATCTTTTTTTAAAGGAATTTATGCTTCATTAAAACCCCCTCATATCTGGATCCGAGTCAAGACTCAGATACAAAATGCGGAAGGGAAAAAGAGTGTCAAATAAATATTATTAAAAACAATACAAGTTCTCAACACAATCCAAAACCAAAGCTATTACAACGACTATGCCAAACCAACAAATTACATATGAAACTCAAAGAAATATAAATACACTTCCTAGCAGGGTACACAATCAAAGCCAAAAACCAACATGATAAAGTATGAAACTTTCAGTACGAAGCTCTAACCAATGCCTGCCTTTGCCGAAGAATCCGCTTCGATATTACCTGCTCTGCTGATGTAGCGAACAAAATAGCTTTTTTATCGAATAAGATCTCTAATGTTCTTGATCACCGAGGCAAAACATTAGGAATGGTTTTTAATCCACTTTACAACAACCTTACTTTCGCTTTCAATTATTAAATGTGACCGTTGTGCCCAAGGCGATACTAGAAATAACTTAAGACCATGCTCAATTGCCCCGATTTCCAACGAAATAGAAATACCATGCCCATGTTTAACTGAAATCTTATGTAAAACATTCCCATTATTGTTTTGAATAATACCTCTCATGCCCCATGCACTGACATCTCATAACATAGCCCCATCAACATTAAACTTCAAGAAACCTTTAGGGGGAAGCTGCCACAAAGGACAATCACAATCAAAAGGTTTAGCTGCAACTCATTTATCTGCACACAAAGGACCAACAAGGATATTATCAACAGGCATTAGGATTAATCGCTTTATACAATATTTTACTAGAAATTCCAGCTGATGGATGTCCAAACAGAATCCTTTAAAAATGATATCGTTGCAAAATAGCCAAATTGACCACAAAATCACACGAGGGATTAAAGGCAAAATCAATCCTTTAGAGGATCTTTTGCGTGCACTGCCAAGACAACAAAGGCCGAAAGAGGTTCATGATGCAGAATAATGGAGAAACCCCATAAAGCATAAAAATTCATTCATAAACCCCATGATTCGCACATGAGGGAAAAATATGTTCCACACTTCAGGTTCTTTACTGCATAGAGAACAAAGATGATCCACAATGCGAGAAACACCTCTTTTGAGTAACTCCACCCTAACCGCCACCCTTCGCTGGATAACTAACCACACAAAAACCTCGACTTTGGTAGGAGTAGAACCGATTCACACTAACTTTTCCCATATATCATCAGCATAGGAGAGGGGATCGCACATACAACTAACAGATTCAGCTGTAAATTTTCCTTTCCAAGAACCTTCCCACGGTAAGCAATCTCTATCAAAACTATTCGCTTTGAATCCCTGCAATAAATTATAAAAACCCTCCTATTGTGTCATCTCCCAACCAAAATTCTTTAACGAAGGAGGATGTTCCACACTCAACGTCCTTCTTCTTTAGAGACAAATTCAGACACCTTGCCACCTTTTTTAATTGAGGGTGCAAAAATGTGAGGAAAGCTTTCTTTAAGAGCAACAGTCCAATCCAATGAGCAGTCCCAAAATTCACTAAATTAACATTGCCAACTTGAATTTTCTATTGTTTCTCATGCACAAACAAATCGTGTCATTAACATATAATGATTTAACAATGCCATTCCAAACCAGGAACCATACCTTTG